CTAATTTCCTCTCCCTTATATATATATATATATATATATATATATGCATTAATGTTAAGGCAACTTAGACACTAAATAAATGAACAGTACTGACCATTATAAAAAAAAACTATAATTAGTATTACTATGCCTAATAAGATTCAGATCACGATAAACACAGGCCTAATGGACATATATAATAATAATAATAATAATAATAATAATAATAATAATAATAATAATAATAATAATAATAATAATAATGTCGGAGGAAGTCATAGGTGTATGTAAGTATTATAGGTCTATGTTTGACTTAAATTAAAAAGTACAGTAAATACACCAAAGACAAGTTTAATTGTAAAACTTAAAAGTTTATTTTCTCTGTCACATCACAGAGATTAGTTAAATCCTTATGATTGCCAAAAATCGCTGATAAAAGATCATGAGAAATTTATTGGCGCTTCATTTTGACTATAATGGTGATGTGATGATGATGAATTACTATATAAGAACGTCATTTCCGCCCATCTAGAGGTAGCCTATGCTATGTCTGATAATTGATATTATTCCATGCATTTTGGAATAATAGCTGAGGCTTAAAGTTTTAACATTCCACAACGAACATACACATACTTATGTTAATACAAGGCATACCCTCAATGCGCTGTACCACTTTAATCGAATTCAGGAATGTGGTGGTTAATGTAGTTAAAAAACATCAGCGTGACATCAGCATCACTATGCCAAAAACAATTTGTACTACCCAACCCCAATGTTGGATGTTTTAATTCATACGGTAATACAAATTGATCATAGATTTTAGCCCTATGTTTTACCAAAAATGGATGATGTTTGGTAATGAACAATATTAGGCCCAAAAATGGCAACCGGAATAAATGATTCCCAAACACCAATGTGCTTTCGAAAAGTAACCATTTAGTATGGCCCAAAATTGTAATTTTAGACCATAATATTAGGGTTACACACGTTATAATCGGGAAAGACTTGGGTTTTAAATTTAAACATGTTTTCAAAAACGACAAAAAAAAAATGGCGTTGGGGTCCTCCTCCCGGGAAAATTTTGATTTCTAGATGGCGGGAAATGAGCTTTTCCCAACTTCTGAGGGGTCTTTTAATGACTTTAAGTTCTTCAAAATTCAAGGTTTTCCCTGCTTGAAAACGATATGAATCGATGAACCCCAAAGAAAAAGGGGACCCGGATTTTCCCCGGAAACATGTTTATTTTTAGATGGCGGGAAATTAGCTTTTCCGACTTTAAATTTTCCCATTGTAAAAAAAAAAAATTTCAGCTCACGGGTCCTGACAATTTAGGTCTATTTTCTTTTTTTTAAATTTTGTTTTTATTTATTTATTTATTTATTTATTGCCCAAGGGGGTGGGGGAGTCAGGATACTTTCATTAAATGAATTATTAGAAAAAAAATGGGATTCTAAATAGGCAAATGTGCGGTCAGATACACAATCAAATGCATGTTTGTCTTTTCAACTTTGAATTAATGTTTACTTATGAATTTACAAGAACATCTTCGTGTACATTGGAGTATGAGTCACAGATTTTGTCTTAGTACCGTCGAACCTCACGATGGATGTACAACAGAACGACGTAACAGATAAGTGTCTCAACTGTTGCACATGCTGTGCAGAGCAAAATCTCCCTTTTAAAGTAGTTGCAATCCCCTCAGAAGCTATTACGGAATCTTAGGACAAATGCAAGTGTTTTGTATTTTGAAGCAAGTTCATTAGTTTACCAGTACCCGTAAGCAGACAATGTGATTCTTCAATGTTGAATAGTAATCGTTATTGCATCTATTCAGCAAGTGTGCCCCTATTGGGAATCTGGGCTTTGATTACCACAAGAATTAAAGTACAGTATGCTTATGATAGCAAAATGCCGGTAATGACGTGTTAAGCATAATATAGAAATAATGAAATGTAGCCTTTATGCCTATACTATATTGCTGTAGATGTTTATACATTTTTAATACATTTTTTAATAATTGGAGAGATGAGTTCGCCCTTTCCACACTTGGACTTGTAGCTGGCAGGGTTACTAGGTAGTTTTCGCCGCACAACATTAACCTTAACCAAGCCTTAACTTTAACGATAAATACCCAACATGCAACGCGATAGCTCCGCCCTTTTGTAAAGAAATCAAATTATGCATGTGCAAACCCGTAACTAACGTATGTTGAGCACGTAAAATCGTGAAATTAACGTACTCCGCAACGCAAGATGAATAAATTATGACGTCATCCGAAAACTACCGTACGTATTATTGTCTGGCTTAAACATTCGCGAACATAACACTATCACAACGTTGTAGCAACTTTTTAAACCCATGTTGTCAGAAATTAGGTTATAGGCTAAAAAATTATTTATGGTTCTAAAAGAAAAATAACTTAACAACGTGATTACAATGTTTATAACGTAAAATTGATAAACACAAGTATTCGTAGATAGCTCTATAAAGCTGTTTGCTTTAAAATACAAAATGTCCTGGAGATGATTGGAGGGCTCTGTCATGAAGGTGTTGTATTAATGATGTTCTAAATATTTGCCTTTATTATATCAATAATTGATTAGGTCTAGCTTAGCCTATATTATTGTTAACATTATTTTATATTTGTTTAACAATTAGTTTAAATAATTATTTCTAATTAAATTATTAAATGTATACAATATATTATTTAGGCGTAGGCATATACATAAAACAAAAAATAAACAAACAATAATAATAATAATAATAATATTAATAATAATAATAATAATAATAATAATAATAATAATAATTTTACGATAGTTTGATTAATGAAATAGTAATAATCAGCATATTAAATAAAATTACGTCCATGCAAAACCTGCTTTTAAATAAAAACGTTATCTATTTGATTCTGTTTTAAAAAATAATCTTATAAATTATATAATAATAATTTGATTCTGTTTTAAAAAATAATCTTATAAATTATATGTATACAATATATTATTTAGGCGTAGGCATATACATAAAACAAAAAATAAACAAATAATAATAATAATAATAATAATAATAATATTAATAATAATAATGATAATAATAATAATAATAATAATAATAATAATAATAATAATAATAATTTTACGTATACAATATATTATTTAGGCGTAGGCATATACATAAAACAAAAAATAAACAAACAATAATAATAATAATAATAATAATAATATTAATAATAATAATAATAATAATAATAATTTTACGATAGTTTGATTAATGAAATAGTAATAATCAGCATATTAAATAAAATTACGTCCATGCAAAACCTGCTTTTAAATAAAAACGTTATCTATTTGATTCTGTTAAAAAAA